TATCGTAGTTTTATATAAAAATTATTAAATAGAAAAAGAAGGCAAGAGTACACAAATAAAAGTAAAAGATAGGCATGGTTTTCAAGTCGTTGTTGACTTGGATGGTCGGACAGTTCGAACTAGAAATTGTCTATGCAACCAGTTCCATTTCACTCTTAACCCATAGTATGTCTAAAAACCATTGATTTGATTAGTAATCTGTTGATTTGGGCAATCAAACTATTAACTTGTTCAATCAAGACAATGGTCTTTGGCTCTTTTTTATTTTAATTATTTTTAAAATTTCTTTTTATTTTTTAAATTAGAACAGACCATTCATTAGAATCCGATGCTTAAACTGCATGTTAACCCAAAAACTGGTGTTCCAAGCAGTTTTGATTCCGAGTCGATTTTTAAAACATGACCAGAAATATATAAAAAGAAAGTTTGAGATCAGACTCGGTCATCACAATATTATGCTCACACCGTAATCACAGCCACTTAGAATCATATATTAGAAATATCTCCATATTCATATATTCTCAAATACCCAACTGCAAGAGGATAGCCTTGTAAGAATGAATCCGAGTATGAGCTAGCCGGACAAAAAACGTTTTCCGAACACAGACCAATTAGAAATCCCCACGACTCATGCCACAAATGCCAACCAAACAAGCACAACATCAAAACTGAACCACTGACATTCTTTGCCCCTCTGGGACCCAACTGAACCACTATCCACAAACCCACCAAACTTGAACTAATCCTCCTGACCCACCAGTTCATCATTTTCGCTGAACCCTTTTTCAGACAAGCCATAACCAGGAATCTTAGATGGAGACTGTATAATAGACTCCTCATTGAGCTCAGAGAAGGTTAATTTCATGTGTCATTAACCCTAAAATGATAGTATATCGTATATTACGAACTTTAAGTTTTGCTTAGAGGTATATTGGGGATGTGTTCAGTAAAGTTAATTAGCTCAGCGAGGTTTCAGAGATTTTTTCTAATTAGGTTGTGTAAGGAACTTCCTTGAGATTGTTCACCCATTCACTCTCCCCTCTACATCTGCTTTGTACAGATTATCCAAAGTTCAATTAATTGTCTCAATTTTTCCTGAAAGCCTCCTACTCGATAACAAGAGAAAGTCTTTTTGATGAAATTATTCAAAGAATAAAGGCTAGAGAGAGAGACAGAATCACAATGGCCCCTTTTGAAACAGACAAACATATTCCTATTCAATTGTACGTGCAGACTGCTTTACTGATTTATTCTTCTCTTTTACTACAAAAGTAATACTGCTCCCATCAATTGAATCAATGCATGCAGAGAGAAATTACAGAAAGCAGATCCGCACATTAATATGAAACACCTGCGTGTTTATTTGTAATTGGTTATACACGGCATCATTTGGATATTGTAACATTCAACACCATGAATAGTATTTTAATAAGAAACTGACATCATATATACCAGCCTCATATAATGTACCATAAAAATTCCCCATCTACATATTAAAAGCAAAAACCAAGATGTGAAAGATGAACTAGTCCATCAAATCAGAAATAAAAGTGTAAAATGGTTTTATAAAGTTGGGTTAGTTTTGCATTGATAAATTTATTTTTTTATCAAACAGATTTATAGTTATAATGGGTGCAAACATGAATTTCAATAAAGGATCAGTTTGAAAGGAATACAAATACAAATTTGTAGGGTGCAAAACCTTGTATTTTGTATTATTTTTTATCTATTTGTACTGTACATATTTGTATTTGTATTCCTATCAAATGGAGCCAAAGCTTATACTTTTTTTTTTTTTTTTATCAAAAGCCCACTTGAATGCAAATTTACTTCTTTCTTATTGATGTGCTTTTACATCTTATTATCAATATAAATATGCATCGACCTGTCATTTATCAATGCATAAATGTAATGTTATCAAATACAGGCAAAAGTGAACCAGAATGCAAATTTACCCTGAATCGAGATTTACACTCCATTGCATCGTTTCCAAATGAAACCTTAGTTGTTAATAATTAGTACATCCTAATAATAGTTGATTCTGTTACTTATCTTCTTTCTAGGTAGTTCTGGAGTCTAAATATCAGATTTTTCAGACGGAGAAGTATGGACAGGCCCAATGCAGATATCTGATTTCCATTGTAGTGCTATAAACATTCAAAATATCAAAAGCCCTCACTCTACACACCAATGCCCGCCCGTGAATTAACATCAATTCCGAGCTGACACCCACCATAATTCTACTTTAGACTAAAAATTCTGACCCTGGACTAAATCGTCATTCTCCCTTTTTTAGATTGGATGAGTTGGACTACACATTCTGCAACAGAATCTAATCCCATCAACAAAAGACAGCATGGGCACTAGGGCTGCAAGTCCGGACGCCTGATTTGAAGAATTTTGATCACACTGGACTTCGGTTAGGGTTTGGATTATAAAGATTAACAAATTCCAAACCCAAATCAACCCGACCCAAATTGCATCCGTAATGAGTGTCAAAGGTATTAGGTATTGCCCCCAAAATGATTACTATAGACCCAATGCTGAGCCCACTTTACAACTGAAGTCATTTAATTGATTGACTACCGGTTGGGATTAGCTGAATACGATGGCTGTATAACGAGCTGTAAAATCATTGATAACGTCCCTTGTTAGTCATAAAATTTAGGATAATTTATTAAAACACTCGTTATTATTTTTACAATTTATTAAAACTTATCCTGTAGTTTGTGTTTTACATGTTTTGCAATCAATTTACTTAATTGACCTCCCATTAGATGAAAATGAAAAACAACAGTTTTAACACTAACATTCACTCAAATAAATTTAATCAAAAGAAACTAAAAACAAAAATATCATTTTTTCCCCTAATAAAATATAGAAAATCACTCTATTTTTTTATTTGGTCAATTTTATTCTTTATATAAAAAAGTATTGGGGGTACTTTTGGAATAAATAATCATGAATCCCGTACTCTTAAACATTTCCCACTTAGTTTAAGGATATTTTTGGAATAAATAACCATGGGTCCATGTCCTTAAACATTTTCCACTTAGTTTAAGTGATCATGTTATTATTTTCATATGACAAAACAAATAGCTCTTAATTAAAAGTCGATTAAGTAAATTGATTGAAAACTATAAGGGGTGTTTTTAAATAAATCTTTGAAACTATACGAGTGTTGTAAAAATTGTCATTAATTCTACAGCCTGTTACACAACCCTTGTATTCAGTTAATCCAAATTACTAGTTGCTGAAGCAACCTTAACCATCTCAAAAAAATGAAAAAAAAAAAAAAAAAACTGAACTACTTGATTAAGCAATCTCTCTCTCCAACGTATCTTACAAACTAGAAACTTACTTGAACGTAATCGATAAACAAACAAAAGTAGATACTTGAAACAATTAGTTGCATTTAATATTAGAGAATGCCAACCGCAAGAGATTTGTCTTGTTCCATAAAGGATGTATTTCGATGCAGAAAACTAATTAAACTTTTTTAGGTTGTTGTTGACTTGGTCAGCAAGATTGACGTACGGATGCTTACTTGGAGATTAGTCCATATTCTATGGAATCCAATGTTTTGAAAGGGTCATAATCTACTAATATTCAAATTAGCAATCCTCATTATACTCATAATTTTGGAAATTCTAGAAGTTAGAACCCAAAAGAATAGAATGAATAGAATACAAATAATACTCTCGATATCCGATCCAGGTTTCATCTATCTCTATGTCTGGTTTGAAGAAAAAATAAACAGAAAAATTGTGTAAGACCTGTTCATGGAGATTGGGTTTTGTCAAAATTTCAATGAATTCTATTCGATCGAAGCCCGAATAAAATCTCAACAAATTTTGTGAAATAAGAAATTTCCCTCGGAGCTTTTTTTTTTTTTTCTTTTCTTTTAATTGTTCATTAGTTATTATTCTTTTGTAGTATTGAGGTAAGAATCAAGAAAAGCATCAAATGGTATATCAAAATAAATGAATAAACAAAATCAGATAGACTGGGTAACTGGGTTAGGTGCAGCTGTTCATATGCTAACAAATTTGTTTATATGATCCAAAATTCAAAAATTAAAAAAATGTATTCTTTAAATGGTACATATCAAAATTCATAAGGATTGAAGTAGTGAGAAATGATTTAATTTAAGAGTTAATTATCTGGTTTAACAATTGATGTAACACTAATTAAAGCAAAAATAGAGAAACATAATTTATTTAACCGACCCGATCCTTCAATTAATAGTCCCTTTACCTGAAGAGCTCTTTTCTTTTTCTTTTCTTTTCATTCTTTCGGGGATTTTAACTAAATCAGGGGTGTGTCCTTAATTAAGGGTCTCTTTCAGACCCATAACTTTACACCCCCCTTAATTCACCCAAAATCAATAATAATATAAAATTTGGGTCCCCCTTCCGTACAAAAAAAGAGAACCACGTAAGAAAAAAAAAGGAATGAAAAGAACTGAAAGGACTACTCTTCATTCCAAACTTGTGCAGTTCCTACCAGTTTCCACCCTAATTAAAAGTATTAAATCCTCAACGCGGATTGGTCTCCAACAGCCACGTAGGGCTGGTGTAGCCATAATTAAACCCTAAACGCGGATTGGTGGCAAACTGCCACGTAGCGCTGATGTTGCTTCCAGGAAGCTCCCAACTGCCTTTATCTTTTCTCTTCGGGAGCTGTCAAAATCAAACTGGTACAAAACACATAAAGAATCGCCGAGGAAATGGAGTTTTCCCCTTCAGATCGGGTTGATAGGAGGCGCCTTCCCGCGTTTTCCCCATTCCGACCATTTCCTTCGCATTGAAGGATTCTACCTTTCTATTCCAATTTCCAAATCTATCTCACTCTTTGCGTGTTTGCACAATTCAAAAACCGTTGGATTCCTCGGATTCCTTCATTCGTTGACTGGTCAAAATCATCGCCAAATCATTACAGAACAAAAATCGTTCTCACTTTTCCCGCCCTTATATAAGCCAAACATCCCCCAAAACCTTAAGTTCCTGTATCAACTCAATTCATTCAACAGATTTTTAATTTCGCTGAAACAACTAAAGTAGAACCATCTGAACATGATCTATGTGTATGATGAGCTTCTCCTGAGTTTCCCCATCGTTTCCTTTGTCTTACAGCTTTTTTTCTTCATTAGAAAGCTTTTCTTCATGGCTGTGGGCTGCAATTCTCCCAGGCTTTCTTCTCCTTCATCATCGTCATCTTCTTCTTCTTCTTCTTCTCCTCTCCCGTGGAAGAACTTCCAATCACCAATTTTCAGCCCCAAAACCATATCGCCACTCTGTGGGGCTTCCAAGGTTGACGCTGCGCCATCTTTCCAACAAGAGAATTCCTTCCCTAACATGTATTTACGCGAGAGTTCGCACCGCCGGCGGCATAACTCCTTCACCGACGGCTTAATCCCGACTGCCGATGATTGCCCAAGAGAGGATTTTCATGGTAGGGAGATGCCACAAGTTGATTTACGTTCTAGGATGCAGGAGCTTATTCCCAATCGGCACCTGGAGGAGAGTACTTCTGGTTCTAGCTACGATGCATGTCTGCAAGTGAAATCACCAGATGCCATCTTGGTGTCTGAGGGAGTGAATTCTTTGCCGAATATCAAGATTGGAGAGGGTAACAATAATGCGTCGAGATTGATTCGGAAGCGGCCGGCGAGGATCATCATACCGGAATCCTTCAAGGTTTCGGATTTTGGAGAAGCTGGTGGAGGCCGAGGGAACAAGGAATTTGAACTACAAGGGAGAGGTTTCTTTCTGGCAAGCAAGAGAGGAAGGAGAGAGACCATGGAAGACGGATATGCAGCCATGACCGACATTCTAAGAGATCCCAAACAGGTATTGACCATGACAGATTATTGTTGTTAGTTGTTTTTAATTCTTTTCTTAGATATTACTCAAACAGCTTCCATGGATGATGTCAAAACTTCATTTTCTGGTAATTTTGATGTGTTTTACTTCCCCAAGAAATTAAACATGAATATACATACCATCATCTCCCTTTCTCTCTCTTTCTCTCTCTAGATCCAATTACTCAAGTATCTTAGAAATTAATCAAACAGATTTCATGGATGATATTAAAACTTCATTTCCTGGTAATTTTGATGTCTTCTACTTCCCCAAGTAACTAATCATGAATACTCTCTCTCTCTCTCTATCCATCCATGCTGAGACTTCAAAACTCTGAAATTTTGAATATGTTTGTTGGGTTTTGAACCAGGCCTTTTTCGGTGTCTTTGACGGACATGGGGGACGTGCTGCTGTTGATTACGTAGCTGAAAATTTAGGGAAGAATATTGTAAAAGCTCTTGAACAGATAGAAAGGACAGAAGATTTGTTAGAACGTGCAATTAGGGAAGGCTACCTAACAACAGACAAAGAGTTTATTGGAAAGGTACTGTATATCAAGTTCTTACCTAATACCCAATAAGTTTGAACAGTTCAACTTTATATAAAATAACCAGACCTACCATATCTGAATGGGGACTCCAGTCTCCAGTCAATATAGCTTTCAGAAAAGCGACCAGTTTAATTTATTAGTTTTTCAGCTTTATTAAGGGGTGCTTTTGTTTTGGAAATTGTCACATCAGTTGGTTTTGTTGAACTGTGCCTTCTGTTTTTTAATGCAAAAACAAGTTGGTTTTGTTGGAAAAGAAATCTTGTTTTTAAAACCACCAATCAGATGAAAACATGTTCTTTGAACCAGAAATTCAAGAACACATCTTTCCTTACTGTTTTAAGAATCAAATTGATTTCAAGTCCGAAGATTTTGATTTGATTTTGAAATGGCAACAAGAAAAACAATCAGAACACCCCAAAAATAAGCGACTTTGGGGTCTGCTGTGGGCATACGCTTTGTGCACCTACGCCATGCCATGCACATGGGAAACATTTCTCATGCGCACACAGGCGTTTTGTGCACAGCAAATCCGTGCTCAAAATAAGCAAGTCAGATTCAGGCTTTGTGCATTCTGATTCAAGGATTGTAACCTGAATCTGACTGATTGGTTGCCATCCATTGATTTAATTGCTTAGCTAGTAGCCCTATGAATAAGTTACTAAAAGATCTTGTTGTTTACACAAAGATGGAATTTATTTTCTTTGACAGGGTGTAAGTAGTGGAGCTTGTGCAGCTACTGTGTTCTTGAAGGATGGGGAGTTATTCACAGCAAACGTAGGTGATTGTAGAGTAGTCTTGAGTAGGAAAGGAGTAGCTGATGCATTGACCCACGACCATCGTCTCAACAGGGAAGATGAACGCTGTAGGATTGAGAGCTCAGTAAGATCTTGACTCAGTGCTGTAGCCACAACCACTTTGATCAATTCATTTTTCTTACACAACTTATTGCAGGGAGGTTATGTGACCTGTCGCCATGGAGTTTGGAGAGCTCAAGGCTCATTAGCAGTTTCAAGAGCATTTGGGGACATGCACTTAAAGGATTGGATAATTTCCGACCCAGAAATTAGGAAGCTTTGTTTAACACCAGATTGTGAGTTTTTGATAATGGCATCAGATGGATTGTGGGATAAGGTAAGCATTGGAATGCTAATTGCTTCCTCTCTCCTAACTATATACATAGATTTCCTTTGTGGCGCACTCTGTAAGTTTCCTCAAAATTGACATTCTTCTGGGTTTATCAGGTAACCAATCAGGAGGCAGTTGATGTGCTCTTGAAGAACAAGATCTCCATTGAATCCTGCAAAAAGCTTGTAGATTTATCTTCTAGTAGAGGAAACAAAGATGATACAACTGTGATGGTGGTCGACCTTTCGAAATTTTGAGCAGATGGGTAGTGGTATAGCTAAGTAATTAAAATTGTAGCAAGAACTAGAAGTACAGGATGATCTACTCCACTACTGAAGGTGTTAACATCTCAGAGAAACCTACCCTTTGTTAATATTTGAAGATAACACATATGGCTAAAGGCATCTGATCGACCGCTATCGAAGTACAGACAGTGAAGTTTTCATCAAAGCATTCATATTGGTGATGGATAGAACTAAACTGACTCTGACAGGGGATGAAATTATGAGGACCTAGGCAATTCAAATTCGTTCCAATTCCCAATGATGAAATGCGATTAGAATTTAGTTAGAGTAGAGATGGATAGATATTTGGGTACAAATTTGGATTTTCTTGCAGAGAATTTATTTATTTATTACACACATAAATAGCGGATCTTGTACATTTCCATTTCATTATTGAATTCTTTTATTAGCTCCTCTTTAGTAGTTATATATTTCTTTCTCTCCTTTCTTTCTCTCTTTGTTGTCTTGTAGGAGATTCAAAAAGACCCACTGAATTAATGAAATATAGGCTTCACAACCACTCCAATCTCTCACTTTGCATGCTTGAATTAATTGACACAGCTATCAAATGAACACCCAATCTGTCTTAGTTTAGTTTTGTAATCACATTTGGCTCATTTTTTGTTTGTTCAAAAGCAAAAGCTGACCGTTGTCTTTGTCTAACAGTAGCTTGCCAGTGTAATTCTTCCCCGGACAACAAATTTGACCTTTGTTTAATCGTTCAAAACCTTTTTTTTCCCTTCATCTAAATGAAGAATTTACTGAACAAGACTCATTTACTGTCGGCAAAATCTTCTGATCATACTGTTTGAAATTCGGTCATCGTAAAACTATTGAATCTTTAGGTATCTTTCATGGTTATGGAAACGCTTAATAAGGATGTTAACATTGTTTTAGTAGGATCCTTGATGGAAAGGATTCGGATTTGTAAAATTGATTTAGAACCTTGAATTCTTTCTCTTGAATATTAATGAATTGAAGAATAATAAAAGGAAGAAAAATATGGGAATTGATTTGGTCAAACTGAGCCTACTGTTTTCGGTTGCAATGCAAATAAATTTGCACTGATACAAAACTATGGTACTGCAAATGATTTTAGTCTAAATTCTGACCTGTTTCTGTTTCAGGTTTTAGCTTATTTTGTTTATATAGAGTAGAAATAAAGTAAATTAAGACATGAAGCAGAATAAAGTAAAATAAAAAACAAAATTAAACGAAAATTTGTATTTTTTTCATTTGTACTCTCATAAATCTGTATTAATGCAAATAAAATTGCACTGCAACAAAACACAATAGGCTCAGTTTAAAAAGATTACAAATATAAATATGTACGTTGCAAATACAAGATTTAAAAGAACAAGGGATAAGTGGACTGCAATCCACCTCAGAATGAATTGCAGCCCCCCCTAAATCGTATCCTGCCTGTGAATTTGGCATCAATCCACGGGCAAACATGTAATTTTTAACACTTGGGGTCTAGCTTGATTTTCGAAGAATGGGATGTGTCCAAATGACTCCCCAGACTGTAGAATCTTGTGCTACAAGATGAAGATGCCCAGTTTAAATCTTTTGGTTTAAAGATGCAGTGGAGACTTGAATGGTCAGATTAGACCGTCATGTCCATGGGATCAAATGCATCTTCTCATGACAAATTCAAGGGTCAAAATTAAGGAGGGTGGGGAAAATTCATAGTTATGGACCGTGATCTATGACCTAAGTGAGCAGAAAGTGTTCTGCAGTCGAAATGCACAGTTCTTGGAAACCGATTATCTCCTGGACACCCATCGTCAGGAAATAGTTCTTAATGAGGAAAGCTCAGGAGCAGTGGGAGATGTCCCACAAGTTCTAGGTAGTGACCAACCTAGAAGATCCACTCGGGAATCCAGGCCACCAGTTCGTTATGGTTATGACTAGGATAGTTAACTGGTGGAAACTTTGACTAATGAGGAGGATCCCGTGACTTACGCAGAAGCTATGTTGGACATAGATTCCCAGAAGTGGGTGGAGGCCATAAGAGCAGAGATGGACTCAATGGAGACCAATGGAGTCTGGACTTTAGTAGATCCGCCCTCCGGGGTAAAAGCAATCGGTTGCAAATGGATTTACAAGAGGAAGAAGGGCCCCGATGGTAGGGTTGAGACCTTCAAAGCTCTTCTGGTGGCGAAAGGGTACACTCAGAAAGAGGGCATCGATTATGAGGAAACCTTTTCGCCTGGGGCCATTCTTAAGTCCATTAGGATCCTACTAGCTGTAGCAGCATACCAGGATTATGAGATTTGGCAGATGGATGTCAAAACTGCATTCCTGAATGGAGATCTTACTGAAAATATCTACATGCAGCAGCCGCAAGGTTTCATTGCTGCAGGTTAGGAACACATGGTATGTAAACTAAATAGATCCATTTATGGACTTAAGCAAGCTTCTAGGAGTTGGAACATCCGTTTTGACTTTGCTGCCAAATCGTTTGACTTCAAGTAGAATCCGGATGAACCCTATGTTTACAGGAAGTACATTCTACACATTGGGAATGATGTAGGAATGTAAACTATGGTGAAAGTATGGCTTTCACAGCAATTCTCCATGAAAGATCTTGGAGAAGCCTCCTATATACTAGGTCTTTGACTCTATAGAGATAGATCGAAGCGGATAAGATAAGGGTTTATCCTTATCACCTGAAAGGATGTCTGATCCAAATATGATTTGGATCAGCAACTCCTAATTGGATTAGGAGTTGATCCTTTAGGGTTACAAAAGGAGGGGGCGGCAGCCTTTAGAAGACACACATACTCACATCCTCTTTAGAGCTGAAATCACAGAAAGAAGAATTAAAAAACCCTACAGAATTCTTTCTTTCCGCCTCCTTGTTCTTGCCGCCCAAGTTTGCTAGTTCGATCTCCAGTTGTGGGATCAATCTTGACATCAGTTCTTTGTGAAAGGATTGATAGAAAGCTGTGCTCACGTGCCATTTTACTGTTTTTTGCGAAAGACAGAGTTCTTGGAGAAGAACACTGCTGATTATGCTCCATCCTACATTGCGCCATCTTCAGTGGGAGCAGTCTTTGGATCCTTCCTTGGGCGTGAACACCTTCATTGAGAGATAATATTTCTCTGTATCAGGTATACCTCTCTCCTACTCCTTTTGGTTCAGATCTAGTTCGGTTTATGGTTCAAGATTGATCATTGAAAATATGATTTTCTAAATAGGAAATGCGATTCCCAGTTGAAGGGAGATGAAATTTTTTGAAATTTGCCCCCTTTATTCCGCAAGATTTAGGCATCCATCCCTTAAATTTAGATGTTTTTGCTTGGTCAACAGTAGAAATGCCCGTCATTGACCCTAGTGTTATAACTCACAAGCTTAATGTGGACCTTTTAGTCAGCCAGTTAGACAAAGGAAAAGAAACATCGCCCTAGAGCAGTTGAAGGTAGTAGATGAGGAGGTCGGGAAGCTCCTCGTAGCAGACTTGGTTAAAGAGGTCTAGTATCTGAGATGGGTAGCAAATCCAGTCCTCGTGAAGAAAGCCAATGGAAAATGGCACATGTGCGCCGATTACATCGACCTCAATAGACCCTGCCCAAAGGATAACTTCCCCCTTCCAAGGATAGATCGCTTGGTAGACGCGACCTCGGGGCACAAGTTGTTGGGATTCATGGATGCCTATTACAGCTACAACCAGATTAGAATGACTTAGCCAACCAAGACAAAACCATGTTTGTAACCGAACTAGGGTTGTACTATTATAAAGTAATGCTCTTTGGATTGAAAAACGCTGAAGCAACCTTCCAGCGACTTGCAAATAAAAGTTTTGAGCCTTTAATAGGCAATAAAGTAGAGTGTTATATTGATGACATGGTCGTGAAGACCCAACTTTCTTCTTCTTTACTTAGTGATCTAGAATATGTTTTCCAAATTTTAAGAAAGTTTAACATGAAACTCAATTTGAACAAATGTGTCTTCGGGGTCACGTCGGGCAAATTCCTCGGGTATATAGTGAACCGGCATGGCATCGAGGCCAACCCAGAAAAAATAAAGACCATTTTAGATATGAGACCACCTTGGAATATAAAAGAAGTACAAAGACTGACTGGCCGAATAGCCGCCCTGAACCGGTTTATGTCTAAGTTGGTTGGCCGGTGTCTACCTTTCTTTAAGGCTACTAAAAAGAATGAGGACTTTGAATGGTCGAGGAGTGCTAGCTCGCGTTCGATGAGCTCAAAAAATATCTAAGTACCCCACCAGTTTTAACCCGACTTAAACTTGGAGACGAGCTTAGACTATACCTCTCTTCGAGTGATGAGGTGGTTAGCTCGATACTAATCAGAGAAGTAGACTGGGTCCAAAGGCCCGTCTACTATATAAGTATAGTTTTGGAAGCAGTTGAGATGAGATACCCGACATCGAGAAGTTGGCCTATGCCTTGGCCATCGCAACTTGGAAGTTATGCCCTTACTTCTAAGCTCACCCCATCGTCATCCTCATCGAAAGACCACTGAGGCACGTTCTTCAGAAGCCCGAGGTCTCAAGTAGACTGATGAAGTGGGCCATCGAGTTGAGCGAGTACGACATCCGGTTTGAGCCACGCCCAGCTATTAAAGCTCAAAGTCCTGGCAGATTTCATCACAGAATGCACATTCACCACGCCGAGCCCTGAGGTGGCTAAGCTGACCAGCACGTTGGAGGAATCAACCAGCGCGATACCAGTTCCGGTCAGGGAAATCCCAAACTAGGACAAGGAGCCTTGGATCCTCCATGTCGATGGCTCGTCTAATCAGCGAGGAAGTGGAGCTGGACTCATACTGTACGAGCTGAGAGGAGTGAAGCTGGAGTATGCTCTTTGGTTCGGATTCAAAGCATCGAACAATGAAGTGGAATACGAGGCACCGATAGCCGAGCTGACGTTGGTGAAAGAGGTTGGAGCAAAGCACGTCGTGGTATCCAGCGATTCTCAACTGGTCATGAACTATGTGAATGGCGAGTATGAGGCTCGAGAACCCGCCATGGTGACTTACTTGGCCAAAGTGAGGGAACTCATGCTCGGCTTCTGTTCTTGGTTCATCCAGCAAGTACCGAGGTTAGAGAATGCTGAGGCCGACGCACTCTCGAAGTTGGCCAACACTAGCGATAACACTATGAGGACGGTGTACATCGAAGACCTGCCTCGACCCAGCATCGTTATGGGGGCAGAAGAGGTCGCTCCCGTGTTGCAAGCAAAATTGAGCTGGGTAGACCCACTTGTTGATTATCTACTCCATGGGATCCTACCAGCAGAGTGTAACGCACCTCAGAGGGTAGAGACTCAGTCAGCCCGATACGTTCTCATCGGGGTGATTGTATAGGAGATCCTTTATGCTCCCCTACTTGTGCTGCTTACGACATTCAGAAGTAGGCCGGGTGCTACACGAGATCCACAAAGGTCCTTGTGGAG